TAGTATTCAACATAAAATTCATATACAAAAGTGACTTAATGTCAAGTTCATCTAGTGTAAACAATAGAGTGACAAGCATTGAATTGGTAGTTGAAAATGTTCAAACTTGGACACCTATAATTTTTCAATTTTTATGCAATATAATTTTTTGCTAAAAATGTGATGCAGTCATGTTCTTAAAAGGAATCCTTATAACACTGTATTTAACAAAAATTTGTTTGGCAAAAAAAAATGGATTATAATTGAAAAAAGAAAAAATTTAGAAAAAAACAGTTGATTTGTTTAAAAAAGTATTTAATTATTTGATTTCAAATACTTTACAATGAACATCGGTACCTATAATTTGTTGTACTTATCTAACAAACAAAAATTTGTATTAGTATTCTGTAGAAAATAGTAATGGATAAAACATTTTTTTAACAGAAAAAATTAATTATATTTAGAAAAATTTCTTTTATGTATTTCTAATTCATAAAATAATTATGCCTGCAAAGTCTAAAAATATTTTAAAAGTTTATTATTTTCCTGCGAAACTATACGCTTACAAATTAGTTGATAATAAAAACCATGTCATGAAAATTATTAGTCCGTCTTTTCAACAAAGCTATTGAATTCATAAATTTCATTCGACATACGAGAAAAAATTTTATTCCTCGAAGATGACACGAAAAATAAATTTCGAAAAAAACGGAAGCTACTGGGAAGTGCTGAAAAAACAGAATCCCAAAAACGCCGTGCCACTCGTTTCCGCAAGTATACAACGAATGGCGAAGTTTCACGCCGATACTCGCGCGAACGTTCTCCTCAGTATTCCAGTAAGGCTCTTTGGTCGTCGGAAGGCGATTTCCAGCAAGTTTAACGGGTTTTCCGCGAGTGAGGCAAGGTGTGTCGCCCACAAGAGAGAGAGAGAGAGGGAGAGAAGTAAAAGAGGCGGTCAGCTCGCAAATCCGTCTGGCCGCCGGTACGAGGAGCTCCCCGGGGCTGCAGGGTCCCGCGCTTGGAATACCAATGTCCTTTACATCTAGATGTCGAGCGAGAGGATGCGAGGCGACAAGATCCACTCGAGAGTGCGCGTGACGCAAATGCCAGATGCAATCAGGCGCGACGATACCACTCGCTGTCGACGCTTTTCCATTTAACGGACATGCACACTCGCGCCTAATATGTCGCGCATATATACGCCGTCGACGAACAAAGGATACTGCAATCTGGCTTTATCTAGAGTTAGGCGCATTTTCGTCCGTTCAACGTCTTCGGGCAATGTACTTTTTTTTGGGTGTATTTTTTTCTATACATTGACGTATGTGAGGGTGTACGAGAAAAAAGTTTTGGCCGAGGAAAAGGCGATGAGGTACGGGCCCAGGCGCTCGCGCGCGTATAGCCCAATGTGGAGATAAACGGGCGCCCGTGACAGTTTTACTTATTCGAGAAAACGTATTCTTTCGGAGTTTATGTGTTTTTCTCGACACCAGCCTCATACTCTTTGTACCCACCCCTGATACAAAAGCTAAGCTGTTTCATCATACTTAGGCGCGCGGGAAGAAAGTTTTCGATCTGTATGTGGGCTACGTTTTGGGGCTTTTTGGATAATTAATCTGGGGCTTTCCGCAAAGCTTTTTGGCGTAAGTTTACTTTCACTTTCATCGCATGGCTTACCAAAATATCCGTACCGATGACATGTATTGTAGTGAAGATAGTACAGTTTTGAATGATTTAATTATTTCAATGATAGAATGGGTTGACTAAAATTTAATAAAATACTGAAAAAAGCTTGTTTAATTTGCTGTAAAATTAACAAAAAATTATTTTTTTCTATAACAACAACCAACTCTTTGCAATTCTTGTTTGAGCTTCACCAAATTACTCCATGATCAACTGTGGTTGTTCTATGAGTATGAAAACAACACTAATACCTATAAAAACGTCTGATATCTTGGGTGTACAGGTCTTACAAAAAATAATTAGTTTTCAACTGATATGAAATAATTTAGTGTGTCGTTTTAAATATCTGAGATACTAAATAATGAATATTTGTAAAACGACACGACGTATTCATGTATAAATTTAGAAATCTTTATCGTTCTAAAGACGATTAGGTTGTGAACGCTTACCGCCAAGCAAGATATCGTCAAGCTAGAATAAAATAGATTAAAGAAATCTCATGATACTACCCTAATTACCCAAAGCTTGATAAATTCGTTATCTCGTACCTTCGGTATTTTGTCAGGCATTGTGCACTAAAAAAATGTTTTTTTTGAAAATTTCTACTCTGTTGGTAAATGATTTTCATTTTCAGCAATGTCGTAAAATTAAAAAATATTGAAAGTTTGCTAGCGTAATGACGTTTTACTATTTCGTACTTTAGGTACTCTATGATTCATTGCAATTTTATATGAGTATCAATAATAACACCAATACCTATGAAAAATCACATGAAAACGTTTGATATCTTGAGAATATAGGCCTCACGAAAACTTTTCTTTCATCGTAAACCAAAAATAATCATCACTCGCAGTTTTGTTCGAATAATCTTCGTGATTCGTACACTTTCCACGCGTATTAAAATTTATGGAAAATGATTTGGTTTAAACATTCGGCATTACAATATTACTAATTAAAATCAATCTCCCAATGGTCAAACGAGCCCCATTAATTATTAAAATAAACAAATCCTCTCTTGACATCGCATTCAATTAAATTAACGTCATCCACGACAATTCGACCCGCAAAACGCAATCGCTACAATATCAGCGCGTTACACATTCAAGCAGCCATATATTTAATTCATAACCACGAACGAGATATCCCTGGGTGAAAAACCTTGTATACGATTTTTTCCAGTATGCGTTCGAGCAAGTGACGAGAAAGAGGGTGAGAAAGTGTCGAGGGGTGGCACGGACGTAAACAGTATGCACTCGTGCGTCATCGCACCACTTGCCGTGGCGAAAGGAATAGAGACAGCGAGTATCGCATAGGAGCAGCATCAGTGGCTTCCACTAGGATTCACATATGACGCCTCAATCACTTATGGCCTTTAGTTACATTCATACGGGGCGCCGTGTACACGTAACGCACACACTTTGCTACAGCGTGGGACGGCATCTCCACACTATATACCCTCCCCTTCAACGTTGCTGCTGAGTTGACTCGGTCAGAAGATGAATAAAGATAAGCTTTTACTATGATACGATATCCGAGAGAGTCACGCACGGGGGATGTAACATTTCGCTTCTGTGTGTCTTGGAATTCATCAATGCGCATATATACATACGCGCGCAATGTGTATTACGTCCTCTCACGCGCTCGCTCGTGACGCGACGTCTGCTTTTGGCTAGACGAAAATATGCCGTTATTGATTCCTTTTTTTTTTTTTTTTTTTTTTTTCTTCCCCGTAGCGTACACATCGTATGGGTGTTTATAGATTTGATCGATTCGCGCAGGGGATTATCGGTGTTCTCGGGCTGGTTGATGAGGGATCTGGCCCAAGGAATGATCGACGAGACGACTCAGTGGCCCCTTCCTTTTAGGCGATTTTTCAGGGAAAATCGATACGCGCAAGTGTAAATGACGGCACTCGCAAAAGTGCCAGCGCAAAGTTTTACGATCCTTAAAATCGAAGGGTCTACATTACCATCCCGAGAGGCGTAAAAATTTCTCCGCGCTTGTAATCGCGTAACCGGAAATCACTTAACGATCCCGTGAGACAATAAAAAGAGAGCCCTCGGCGCCCAAACTGCGTCCCTCCGCTGGATAATGTATTTGTATGAAAGAGCTGGATGACTGCCGGGCTAGCTCTCTCGCGGAGGAAAGAAAAAGGAAGCGAAACTCCGCGAGTGACGGAAGCCGCGTAGAAAAAATCTTTCTCTTTGGTGCACCGGACCCTACCGAACTTAAGCGAGGAGAGGAAAATTACGTCGAAAGTCTCGAGAATTTATCGGCGCACTTTTAGGACTCCACCTTCTCGGGATTAGCATATTATTCTCGATGTGAGAACCACGCGCGAGTACTCTTTTTTTTGGAGGAATGAAAGGAGAGAAAAGGAGATGCGCGATGGGAAAAATTGTCGGGAAAGAAGGAGTGCGCTTGCACGTTGGGAATGAAGTTACAGGGGCTGGCTTTGCGCGCGAGCCAGCACATCAAATATGTTGATAAATGATCTCTTTGAACGATGGGTGAATGTAGTATAGGTATGTGTCTTCGGTGAGCGCCTCGTGCGATACCTTTCCTCTGAGTGAGGAGGAGGATGTGTGGTTATATGCTAGCGAGCGTCCCCGTGGACTATTTGAATATCACAAAAAAAATCGAGAGGGTGAATAAAGAGACGTGTGGAGTAAAGGAGATCGACTGCGTACATGGGATGTTGCAAATGACTAATGCCGGCTGCGGGACTGTGGTAATAATCGGAAGTGGCAGCTTTTTAGAACTCCTTGTGTGCGTACTGCATAAATTTTAGAGTCACGTAGAGCCATGTGTATTATTATTTCTGACTGTATATCGTAATTCATACATCATATTCTTTTTTACTAATTTGTAAGTACAATCAATTATTCCAAGTATTTTGGGAATGGTTGCAAAAAAAAAAATAAAATTTTTTAACAGAAAGAATAGGTTTTTTATTTATGGGGTGAAAAAATGAGATAGAAGTATTTAAAATCAAAATTATTATTCTTCTCTTGTATTTTATCATCAGAACAGATAAATACTTTATAATAAAAATGAGCCATAAAAGGAATTATTTTCAATCACTACGTAAATCATTAAGAACACTGTCATATTTAAAAGTGAATGAATATATTGATAAATAAATAATTATTTGACAACGTTGAATTAATTGTTAATGTAAACTAAGCCATGTGACTATTCTTGCTTTTTAGTCTAGCATATTAAAGAATTTCACTTTTTAACTTCAAATGAATTCTACCACATTAATTAAAATCTACGATTATAAATACTCAAGGTCCTCTTTATTATTTAATACGACTAGATGGTAAAAAAGTGACCATAGTTACTCCAAGTCCAAAATCCAATGTTGTATTGAGTAAGCTGCTACCTTTTCCAAGAACATATGGACGCAAATACAATTTAGTATCACTTCTTATGAAGCCTACTCCCATTTTTATTGCTGTAGAAGTCAAGAATTTACTTTCATGGTAATCGATTATACTCCACATCGTTACCTTACCATCAACGAAATTCTTCGTCATAAATGACTGTTGTCCAAATCTAACTGGGCCTACGTCTCCAACACTTGATAACACAGCTTTTCCTGACATGTGTACTACCAAACAAGGATACATATTGGTAAAATCTTCAAATGTTGACGTGTATTTTTTATAATCTAACAAAAAAAAGTCATTGGTCGTGTAAACACTGTCACCTCCTAACCAACTGTTGGTCATTGTATAAAAATAGTTAAAACCAATGAAGCACGTTATAACCGGTGCAAAATACATTGTGAAGTCGTCTTTTGGATGATTCTGTTTTTAATCGATTTTCCAAGTAGTTCAATAACTCGATAGAATTATTGTGAAGCTGTTGAAGAAGTTTCTGTAGAAATATTAAACCATCTTTGTCGTGAAACTATTTTTAATTGTATATAAAATTTCAATCTTAAAATAATTCATTGATAATATTTAACTATGATAAAGTGAAAGGTGATATTATTAGAAGTGTGTTTAATGTTAATTATTATTTTGCATATTTAAGAGTGAAATATGTTTTCATGAAGATTACTGACGTTAGATAACACAAAAAATGAATGTTTTTTTTCATCCGTAAATAAATTTTTTTTTCATTATGCATACGCATAATGGACCGTGCTTTCACCACGATTTTCCATGTTCATTGTCGCAAATTGCACACGCCGTGCGAAAAAAATCGTGCGAAACTCATATGGTATAGTTGCTTGCACTACTTGAGCGCCTAGGGTACATGCGCAATTTGGAACCATACTTCAATAATTGCTAAATGTACTATTTTATATTGACAGTTTTATGTGACTTACTACTTACATTTTTTAGCTTTTCACCGTAGTTTTGGCAATGCAAGTTCTTGGTGGCTATTTCAGAGCTTCTTTAATATTTTGATGCTATTTTTTTTTTTTTAGAAATCCGAATGTGATGAACAGACCTTAAACTAAACACTCAATTTTTATAAAACACAGATCCATTCTCGAATAATAATAATATTCATACCAAAGACAAAAACTTTTACTTTTTATATGTTCGTAAAAATTCTAATGTATACTGACATTATTATCTAATGTCAAAATATTCTTGAACACTGTTAACACGACGTTCGCATACACCTGTAACGTGGAAAAAAAATTTACGAGAGTAAGTGTATGCTATATTAAGACGATGGTAAGTGTTGAGAAAGGTGACTTTTTTTCAAAGTATTTATACTCCGCCTATTTGAACGGTAGGTAGTAATAATGTACATATATACATAAAGTCATATTACAAGTTAATTTTATGTCTTTAATAACGATGATGCACTGTAAAATTCCAGTGTGTTAAAATTAAAATGCACGTTTAAAGCGTGTCATCGAAATTTCTATTTTTATAAAATGCATTATAGTAGTCTTGATAAACATTTTAAGAAAAACCAAATTGATACTTCGTAAACTATTTCGCCTGTTCTACTAAACTACTTAATTCAACTATTTTTTTTCATCAACGATTGACATGAGAAGGCTGTACAGAGTAAAACATTTCTGTAACAGATTTTACACACTTGTAAGAGTATTAAATCTGTGACAGCCAAGTTTTTTTACTTCACAATTTTTCTAAATTGGTTTTTCCCATTCAGATGTGTCTAGTTCAATTGAACTGGTTAACGACTTGGTGCATCATAGATTTAGTTGTTCATTTAGCTATTAAAAAAAAACATATAGCTACTCAAAATTACGATCAGTTTCAGTTTTGTTGGATGTCATTCCAAAAACAGTTTTGTTGTAAATGCTTCAAAGGTACCTTCCAACTAGTATAAAGTAGATAAAAATACCAATATTCTAGTCTAATTGCACAAAGCTTGATGAATTTATTATCTCTTGCCTTCAGTATTTTGTCAGGCATCGTGCAATAAATTTTTTTTTGAAACTTTCTACTCTGTTGGTAAATAATTTTCATTTTCAGCAATGTCGTAAAATTAAAAAATATTGCAAGTTTGCTAGCGTAATGGCGTTTTACTACTTCAAACTTTGGGTAATCTCCGCTGAATGCCGCATTTGAGACTGTAACTGATAAGTGTTTTAGATTTTGTGTTTATAGAAATACTACTACGATAAAAGCGAGTTTTATATTTTTATAAAAAGTTTTAAGCGTGTAAAATCATGCTGTTTTCTCACTATGGTTAACTACCTACTTCATCCATAAAACTTTAACAAGATACAAAATACAAGAATTACGTAAAGCTGGTACAATGTCTACATACATCAAATTCAATATGAGGCTTGTACGTAACGTATGTAGATGTAAAACCTGTGTTTATTATTACAACATTTACTTTTATACATATCACAAAATTATTCACAATATAGATGCTGTAAATACTAGAAATTTTTTTTATTGGACTCGGTTTACTTAAAAATATTTATGAGATTATCAAATGTAAAAAATTGTCATCGAGTTAAACATTGTGTGCTGTGTTACAACGATTTGTTTTTTTTTTTTTTAATAAATAAAAAAATTGTATCATATATCATTTTAAGATAATTTTAGGAAATCTAGTGTAATAATTTAAAACAAATTGAAATAACTTTGAACCATTTTTTCAACTGCAGAATGGTCTTCCAAACCTTTTTTTGCATAAAAAATTCCAAAAAAACTCTTGCTAAACAACGTATCCTTTTTCCGAGCTTTTTTTTTTGTTCACGCCTAGTGTTATGCAAACAGGTCAGCTTTGTAGATGTGCACCCAAGGTTTTTAGCATTCATTGTTGTATTACCATATAAAGTTGAATGTACACGTACGGATGAAACGTCCAGAATGGTAAAAAGAAAGTTAAATGAAGCAAACTTCCGTTGGCTCAATCACAGGTGACCTTTTCTTAAGACTTGAATTTTTATTTCCACATCTCTTTTGGTACTGTTTACAGAGGATATCTGACTGAGGAAGAATATATTTGTAGTATGTTGGAATTTATACAATAAAAACTATTTACTTAAATTTTAATCATATTAAAACGACTTACAGAATACTTTAGATTTAGGTACCTATAGATCAGTAGATAAACGGAATTACATAAAAGAATTTGCTTATAATCAATATATCAGTAAAATCATAGGCCAGATTTACATATTACCATATTTATTTCTCAATATTGCATTATTATATTTAAAAAAATTTTTACTTGCATTTTCGGTAATGTGAACTAAAAACTCTTACCGTCACATGTAGATGTAGGATTACTGAAATCTACTGCTGATATGCAATGCATGATTGACAGTCGGTATGAGCGTCGGTACATTACCAACGTATGAGCGTAGGCTTTATCCGTTCGCTTTATCCAAAGAGCGGTACACTTTTTTCTGTACATTTCTATATTGTCGACCCCAATTTTCGCTAATAATCATCCGCAATCTCATTTTTTAGTGTTGTGAATAAGAAGCGCTAGTGTTGTGCCTATTCTGGGTAGCTCAGGTCGGCGAACCGTAGGCGGACGAAAAACTGAGAGACGAACGATGCGGCGAATCGTTGGCGGAAATCGTTTTCTAATGTACATTATCTACCGCCAAATAGTTTTAAATATCATATACATAATAAATGTGTTATATATTTATGCTCATTTCTGGAATCAAAAAAATAATATTTTTATGATTTTATATTGTCATAGTTTTTAAAGCTTTTTCATAGTTGAGAAATCCGTACCTATGTTTTAATAATATTTGTGTAAGAATTATTACATAAGCGTAGAACTAATCGTAGCAAATAACTTTTTGCACGAATCCATATTTAGTCTGTAAGAATCAGTAAATATTACTTGTTGAAGGTTTTAAAACTTTTCAAAGAAGAAAAGTTCATTTCGCTTTTTGTTTTCAACTGTGTGGTTAAAATACAATCAGATACTAGTATATCCCATACTCGCCACCGACGCAATATTCAACCTTTGATCACAAAAATTGTGCGACATTTGTGTTTAGGCAAGCCATAATCCTCGAACTCCGTAATAAATGAAGCTCGTGTCTCTTTGGCCAAATTTCTTTCTCGTGAAATCGTGCACTCGTACACGTGTACATTATAACCCGGCGTCGTCCCCACACAACGGAGGTAATGATAAGCCGGTCACCCTCAATTATGGCGGATTCGCCGAACTCGAAAACGCCCGCCCTCTTATATTCGGCCAGAAAGAAGGAATCCACGCACTTTTTTTATCTTATTATCTACCTCTGGGCATTGTGCGTGTGAGTGCGTGTGCACGTCCCCCGTTATTACAAGTCTCAAAATCGGCGAGGCGCGAGCAACCGACCGTCACTCTGTAGTTATCGTTTCGGAGCACGCAAGCCGTTATACGCATTTCGGTCAATTAAATCGTACCCTTACATACGCGCATATCTATTCAGATATCGACCCCTTTTTTTTCTTTACTTCGTGATTGCCTCGTTTTATATTTTTTTTTCCTTTTTTATCTTTTGTTACGGCGTGCGATTCGTGCTTTTTTACATCGTCTATTGTCCATACTTCTTCTTTGATACATGCCACTTTTTGGCGTAATGAATATGTAGTAAAAAGTATACCCTTTTTTGAATTAATTACAAAAATTTTACCTTATATAAGCTCAGGTGCAAGAAAAGTTGAATTATTTAGTAGTGAAATAAATTGATGTTACAAAGTAAAAGAAAAGCTAATAATTTAAACAAACAAACACATGAACAGAGTAAAAATATCAAAATATACGATACTCTTGAATAAAAAGAGAAATATTTTAAAGCAACTTTTTAATATGTTTTTTTATATGGTAAAATAACTTTTTTAGAAATTATCAAACTCTACTCAAATTGATTTCACGTAACTGTGACGTCTATGTTTTCTAACTTAAAAGTGTGTGTGTGTCGGGTTTACTAGGGAGTGGGACTGCCTTTGTACTACAATATCTAAAGCCTCGTTACCATTACCAACAATCATAGCTGCAGTTTGTGCTGATTTATATACCTATTAGCATTGTCAGATCCCTTCTACCTGTTTACGTTGGACGCTTACACTCAAAATTTAACATTTGTGCGGGTAACCACCCCGTGATGCAATAATCTTGACAAAATTACCCTATGACAAAATTTTGTATTGTACAAAATTGACAG